CTGGTCCGTGACTACGGGATACATAAGCTCAGGGAAGTGGGTTGCTGTTTTTGTGTTTTGAAAGTGACTCTGTATTTGTGGATATAGTCATGGCAATGACCCATGAACAGCTTAACAAATGTCACTTCTGAGTTAAATTGGAAGATGGAACATCAGTGGGACTTACGTTTTTTTAATAAGAAACACCCAGTTAAGGTGTTTTCTTTTTTGTAGGTACAGGGAGTTTTTGTTGTTTTATTTTTTAAAGTCAACCTGTTGGGGAGTGGTGGTAGTGGTGGTGGGGGGGATCAACAGAAGGACTTGTCCGCACGCACATAAGCACGACCCATGGACACAGACACTGGGGGAGGGGGATGAGGGCATGGGACAGGGGCAGGGGAGGCTGGGGGAAGGTCTATGGGGTGGGGAGGGGGAGAAGGAGATAGATGTACTCCTATATGTAAACTTTAAACAATAAAATAAAATTTTAAAAGTGCATAACTTCGGATAGAAAGAAGAGCCAGCCTGTTGGGCAGCAGTGATCTGGGTAAGAGGTGCTATTTGTTAGCTGAGGAGCCGGCTGGCCCCGCACTCCGGCCTCAGGGCAGCGTCCTGCCTGTCAATCCCAGGCCCTGCTAACAGCCGTGTGGTGGGCAGGCGGAGCCTCAGCTCCCCCGGTCGCCATGAGCGGCAGTGAGGAGAGGCCCTCAAACCCTTTCTATAATGAATTCTACACTTTACTGCGAGTTGACGCATTTTCCCTGGAACGGAAATCATTTTGATGCGTGTTTTAGGCACTTCATTTCCCTTTTCTACCCTCTTACCTAACCCACCAAGGAAGGGTTGTGTGGGGCGGCCTCCCCCCACCAAACCCCGCTCCCCTGACACACTCACACACACGGCAGGTGCTGAGCGCGTGTGTACAGCGAGTGTGGAGAGTGGGGCTTTGGGTTTGGGTCTCATTCTGCTGTTTGTGAAACTATTAAGTATAATCTCTCTAAGTTCTTTTACCTGTAACATGGCACTAAGACTGCCTACCTCAGCGAGTACACGGGACAGGATGCTGCCTAGGACTCAGCGGAGCAGAGACAGCTCCTGTGCGGGTGCTGTGACTGTTGCTGTTGAGATGTCTGCGGGGGCAGGCACAGGAGGCACACAGGAGCCAGCATCCTGGTTTCTTTATTTCTGCCCCTCGGCTCTGGGAAATATTTCTGCCGCGTGCTTGTTAACCGACATGTTAGCATTTCCTGTCATTTATCTTCTTTAAAATGGGCTAGTAACAGTCTTCCTTTAAAAGACTCTTTTAATGGGAGGATGGATAGATCCCAGGAAGGTTTAGCACTTGTTTGTTAGCTTTCCAGCAAAAGGACTACAATAAGGCGGCCCTGAGAAGTGGCGCATCTCGCTCTCAGGGCGGCAGAGGGAAAGCGAGCAGGGCCTGCTTCTGCGGCTCTCCCGTAACACAGCACCTGAGGGGGGAGTGCCATGTGGAGTCCAGGCTGGCTTAGAGCTCCAGTGCAGGTCACATGATTCCTCAGGCCCCAGTTCCCTCATCATTCACAGGCGCTGTCCCCTTCACGGCTCCTGTAGAGGTCAAAAGGCTACACAGGGTGAGAGCCAAGCGCCAAGCACTTCTCCGGGCACACAGCTCTGTGACGTTGGCTGTCTCTTCCCTAGTGCCACGTGAATGTGAACCAGATGTGCTTGTTCACACCTGGGAACTGCAGGCGATAGGCTGAGTGAGCCAGGGCCGCAGGCCTCATCTGGAGAGGGAGCCACTCCGCCCCACCCTGGCCAGATGTTGCCAGAGGAAATCCAGCCGTCTTTCCAGATCTTACCATCTGGACCTTTATTAAGTGGCATCTCCTGATTTCTAGTATTGTCAATCATAACTTATTCATAAGCGTTGTCCTGATGAACAAAACGCATCCACCGCCTTCCCACCTGCAGTCTAAGTGACAAGGGCGGGCCTTCCTGCTGCTAGCGATGACATCGGCCTCAGAGGAAAAGGCTGGGGACGCTGCTCACAGGTGCAGACGGACATGCCACGGGGGTAGAACTAGCATTTTCCTCCCCATCACCTGCACCGCCTTCTCCTGCCTGTGTGTCTTGTCATGTCACACGGCGAGATGTTTGATCAGAACCTCTCCCCCAAGATGTCAGCCTTCCTCTTGGCCGTTGTACTGCCATTGGCGGGAGCTTCAGTCATTGTGAGTTGACAACTTTACCATGACGTCATCGGGGAGTCCATCCTTCGGAAACCTTTGCCTTGGTTTAGGTGTAGGCACCTGCGGTGTCTTATAAAGAGGCTTTTAGTTGCAATAAACAGAATACAACTCCAGTCAGCTTAAGAGCGAGGAAGAGTGGGCTTATGGCAGGAATACAGGGTGTTTCATGGAGCCCAGGACATTTCCCCGGGCCAGTGGAAGGGACCAGAGTGCGGGGAGGGCCAGGGATGCAGACGGCAGTTCCCTCCCACTGGCCTCTCCAGCTGAGTGGCTTCTCCTGCCCCTGAGGAGCTGCTTGTCCTCTGCTCTCCACCCCTCCATACAGGGCAGCCACATTGTCACCTACTCAGACTTCCTTCCAGGTTCCCTGGACTGAGGTTTTGATTGGTCCAGCGTGGGTTAGGTGTGAGTCCCTGCTCCAATCAACTGAGGCCAAAGGGTAGGACCAAGTTTCACAGATATGTTTGTCCTCAGCTGGGCAGACATGACAAAACATTCACCATTCAATTCTGTAGGGTAAGTGTATGTGTTGGCAAAAAGTCAGTGCCCAGCCTGAGGGAGGTCCAAAGCACAATGGAAAGGAAAAGGATGTTTTTGTAAAATTAGGGCATAAATTCATTTGGATTATGCAACAGCAGAGCAGTGTGAAATATTTTGACATATTCCTTAATGGATTCATACTGTGTGAGTTGATTTTTTTTAGTTTTATTTCATTACATCTTTCTATAGGTCATGAGTTTGGTTTTCTTATGTGGGTTTTACAAAAGAAATAAAGTGACTGACACATTTATTTATTTGCTCCCAAGCTAAAGTAGAAAAGAAGATGATTTTATTTTTATTTTATTTTATTGATTATGGTCTCACATAATTGTCCTTATCCCCTCCCCCCCCATTCCCATCCCAAACCCCTGTTGTCCATGGCCACTGGCTAGACCCATATGTATGCACACAAGTCCTTTGGTTGATCTCTCCCCTTTACCCCCACCCTCCCTTACTTTCCCTCTGAGGTTTGAGAGTCTGATCACTGCTTCTCTTTCTCTGGGTCTGTTTTTGTTCATCAGCTTATGTTGTTCCTTATTTCCTCTAGATGTGTGAGATCATGTGATCCAAAATGTAAATCTTGGCTTGGTTCTTTTCTTGTCTAGGAAACTTTGAATAAATCCCCTTAACCTCAGTTCCCTTAAAATGGGATGTTGCCACAGCATAGGCTTTGTGCAGCTTTATGAGGTGATGTATAGGCAGTGCACAGCTTAGTGGCTGGGACCAAGGTTTGTTCCCTTTCCCCTTGCCGCCAAACGTGTGTGTTGGCCTTGGCTTTGCAGAGTTCAGCACATAGTCAGGGCCGGCGCTGTCACCTCCCAGCACGCCTTCAGTCGCCTCTGTGGGCCCCATCCCCATGGTCTGCAGCTGAGCTACTTTCCCTCTCAGGGCGGAGCTCAATCAAAAACACAAGTGCAGTCATTGGCACCGTTCACATTGGAGACAGCTTGCTTATCCCAGGCTGAGCCTCCGTGTCCTCCTGTGTGGAATGGGATAAAAAGCACTAATCCCAGGGGTAACTGCTGCAGCTCAGAGGGGACATGAACCGCCAGGAACGCTGTGGACACAGGGATGGGAGCTGGTTTCTTTTAAGCCAGGTTATGTGTACCTTAGGCTGTGTACAAAATGCTGCCATGCTCTTCCGGAGTGGCCCGGCAATCACACACCCGTGGGCAAAGCTGGGTGTGCCGAGTTCACTGTACATCTTGTTACCATGAAATGTGAGAACAGCGTGATTCCCAGCAGGAATTACTCTTTGTGCACACGATACCTGATACTATAGGACCTTTAAAAAGAATGAGCTTGGGATATGTGTGTTGACAGTGGAAAGATCTTCAAGAAATGGCATTTGAATTGAAAATGGGAAAATACACACACACACACCACAGACCCACACAACTACAGATATATATTTGTATAAAATTTCTGGATGGCTACACACATACAAACACAAATACTTTGAGTATTTGCTTTATTTTCAGAATAGTATGTCATATGTAATGATATGTAATACTAGAGAAAAACATTTCATATAATTTTTTAAATACGTACCCGGGTGTTCTGAAAGTCCATGCACAGACGGCCTGTGAGGATCCTCCTCGAGCTGGCAGGTCCGGTGACGGGAAGCGGGAGCGAGTCAGGGGGAATCTTTGCACTCTGTGCATTGCTTAACTGTTTCACAGAGAGGATTTCCCCGAATTGAAAGTATAAATGATAAAAATTAAATATAATTAGATATTTGTACACCAAACAGTTCTGAACTGTGTATCTTACCTGTTCTTAATTATAGCAGCGGTAGACTTATAAAATGGAAAGTTTCCATTTGAACTTTAGAATCATGTTTTTCTTCTTGTAACTATGCATGTATTAGATGTATTAAAGCACACCAATGAGTAAAGCCATTTTCCTTTGAAAAATAAAATACTGGTTTAAATAAAAATACAGTACTAGTTTACTCTGGGAAGGAAATCCACTTTTCATAATAAAATCGTGTGTGCACGTATAGGTGTTATCTTTTTAGTATATTGAGTCATCCCTGTTTTTCATTCTTTTCTTCTTTTAAATCAAAGAGCTAAAAACATTTAAATTTTAACAAGTGCTAACGCCATGTAATGAATCTGTGTGTGACCTCGCCTGTGCTTTCCTGAGGTGAAGCTATGTTGGGCTGAGCACATCACGTGTGAAGTCAGTGATGGCTCGAGCTCAGAGCTTTCCCGCCAGCCCCGACTGACCGATCCACTGTCTCCCCCACAGATGACGGAGGGCAGGCCCTGCCAGGTGCACCTCCTGGACGGCCGCCGGCTGGAGCTGCTGGTGCAGGTAGGTGTTGCCCCTGGCCACGGGAGCGCATGGCCGTGCCAGGCTGGCTGCGTATCTGCGCTCACAGCCCGTGGTGCAGGGGTGACTGCAGAGGAGAAGGAGCTTTGAAGCCAGTAGGCCTGGTCTGTATGTGACTGCATGTTGGTGACATATATTCAGATTCGCGGGTTTCAGTCTCCGCCTTGACGCTCAGTAGCTGTGGAGCTGGGCGAGTGACTTTGCTTCTCTGAATCTCTTGCTGGTAAATTGGATCACATGATGCTTCTCCTGGAAAAGGGTTATGCATCCTGCCACTTTTCTGGTGCATGGCCTTGTCCAGGGTAAATACCCGCTTCATAAACTGTGAACTGGCGTTAAGGTTGCCAGGCTTCCTCACAGAATCACAGTTAAAATCGACCTAAATCATAAATGAGAATGAAATCTCTTTGTGAAATATGTGGGCTTTTGTAAGTGGTGACATATTAATGGTGGGTGCTTCTCTCTTTATCTACCCAACACTTCGGACCAAGAGTCTTAACAATGCTGGCAGTCCCCACTGACAGCCACACCCACAGCTCTGGCCAGAATGCCTGCCTCTGACCAAGTCTCCATTTCTCTCCCTCTGGGCCTGTCTTCAGCCCGCCAGGCACAGGCTTCAATTAGAATGGAAATAGTACAGCCCACAATAGTTTCCCAGAGGAGACATTGTAATCTACACTTCTGCCTGTTTTTCTCTTCTTTTCTTTTCTCTGCTTTTCTTCCTTTTTTTAAATAAATATTTTTGTATTGATTTCAGAGAGCAAGGGCGAGGGAGAGAGAGATAGAAATATCAATGATGAGAATCATTGATTGGCTGTTTCCTGCATGCCCCCTACTGGGGATCCAGAGCACAACCTGGGCATGTGCCCTTGACTGGAATTGAACCTGCAGGCCAATGCTCTGTCCACTGAGCCAAACCAGTTAGAGCTTCTCTCTTCTTTCTTTCTTTCTTTCTTTCTTTCTTTCTTTCTTTCTTTCTTTCTTTCTTTCTTTCTTTCTTTCTTTCTTTCTCCCTTTCTATTCATAACTCTTCTTTATTCCCCAAAGCAAACATTCAACCCTCAAACCATAATGACAAACCCTAAACTGACTCAAAGTTCAGGCAGATACACCTAGCAAACCCTCCTGAAAACCCCTTTTCCTCTCCAACTCTGCAAATCCAGCGGCCACAGTCACAGCCATTCTGGCTAATTCCAAACCGTGCCCCTTCCCACCAAGTCCAGTGCTTCCTAAGAGCGCACCGTTCGCTCCATCCTCAAACTAGGTGCTCAGTAAGCAGAGTGAGGCCCACCGTACAATGGGCACAGTGACTCCCTTAGAGAAAGGAGACGCTTAGGCCTTAAAGCGGCAGAACAGGGTTTCTGACTGTAACACCAGACGAGGGCTTGACTTCTCCTGGCCTTGGCTGACCCGTCCAGAGAGTGCAAACTAAGAACCCATACCTCATCGGCTGCTTGCAAGGACGGAATGCGATAATAAATATAAGGAGCTGGACACAGTGAATGATTTCTATTGCTGTTATTGTTCTTTTTAATTCGATCTCTGATGCCCCCACAGCCTGCGTCTTGATCCTTTACAACTAGTCCACCAAGCCCAGTTATTCCTACATGCAGACAGCGAGGAGTTTGTCTTGGTCACTAGCACCAAACTACACATGAAAGAGTGTTTTTCAAAAACACCAAGGCTTTAGTAAACAGTCTTACCTCAGAGCAACCACGTCTGAGGCCCATGAAATCCTTTGGTCTGGTCCTGCCAGGCATTAGGGGTGAGTTAATTAAATGTTTGACTGAATAGAGCAGGCTACTTTTTGAGCTGATAATTTGTATGGCCCACGAATGATGTCATGAATGTCCAAATGGGCTTGGCATGATAAAAAATAAAAAATAAAAAAAGGTCCCCACCCCTGCCTAGAGGGAAGAAGTAAGGAATTGCAAATGTCTGAGAACGATGGTCTTACTGAGGTTCCTCTCCCCACTCCTCTCCTCATCTTAGAGGATGGTCTGCAGGAGTCTGACCAGGGCCGCCCCGGCTGGGGAGAAGCAGATGTTTGGGAGCGAATACAAGCGTTCTCCACTATTGGGCAGAGGGGTGGGAGCACTGAGAGAGGCAAGCAGAGTGTTCTAACCGGAGTTCTGTACCCACAGCCCAAGCTGTTAGCGCAGGAGCTGCTGGACCTCGTGGCTTCGCATTTCAACCTGAAGGAGAAGGAGTACTTTGGAATCACATTCACAGATGACATGTAAGTGTTTTCCTGTCGTTTCTATCTCCACCTTTTGTCTGGGCCACTTCCCTACTGTCATCCGTAATTAGCAAAAACAAAAAACAAAAAAAACGGGGTGGGGAGGTAATGCTCCAATCATTAGACTATGTCCTACTTAAAGGTTTGTGGTTTTTTTTAAATATATTTTTATTGATTGTAGAGAGGGAGAGATAGAAACACCAATGATGAGAGCAAATCATTTATCATTTGCCTCCTGCACCCTCCCCTCCCCCTCTTATCCTTCCTCCCCTCCCCCTGGGGGATCGAGCCCACAACCCAGGCATGTTCTCTTGACCAGAATTGAACCTGGGACCCTTCAGTCCACAAGTTAATGCTTTATCCACTGAGCCAAACTTGCTAGGGCTACTTAACTTTTTTTAAGGCAAGGTTTTTCTCCTAGGACTATTGTAGAAGGAGAAGAAAAGGAATATTGACCTTAAGAACTCAAAATATTGTCCTCTTTTAGAAATTTGTTGTAATTAGTTTGTTATTCTTCTCTGAATGCACTGTGCTTGCTTAATGAGCTCATGGAGCAGAGAGAGAAATGCTAAATGGTCATTTATTCACATCTTGGAACTGAATAATGTTTTGGTGTTGGTGGCAAGGAAGTTTGTAGGCAATTTATGGCCCACCCATAAAACATGTATATAATTTAATATGGAGGGGACTTCTTAACTTCCACTGAGGCCCTTTTTATGTTACATCCTTACCATCTTTTCTTTCCATATTTTTGCTAACTTGGAGATTGTATGTATTTGTCAGCAATTTAGATCTTCTCTGAAGTGAGGCAGGCATATGAGTTTAAAACTCCTTGTAAGCAAATGTGTTTTGAGTTATCGACATTATTCTGTGTGAGTACGTATCTGCCTGCTTTTTGGCAGCCCAGTTCGCCTATATTCCAATTCGCTTGTGTTATATGCAGCCTGCTACGTTAGCAGAGGAATTCTCCCTGTTTCTGCGGATAATTTCCAAAGATTTCTTCACATATTAAAATTCAAGGAAATGTGTTCCAGACAAACCATGTTGCCACCACAGCATTCTGCCCGCAAATCTCCCAGTGCACGTGCTCTCTCAGCGCTCCGGCGTAACCAGGCAGAGGGGGTCCCCAGAGGGGTCATTTGCTGGCACACTGTGACTTCCGGTTATGTCCTGCCTAGAGGGCTGAGGGCCTGGGACCTCCTGGAAATACCCCTGGGCTCGGGTCTTGGGCTGGAGAAACCCCAGCGCTGAGCTGCCAGGAGACATGGGAAAACCTGGAAGCCTTGATTCGGGATATTTTCTGAGGAGGGTTCAACAAAGCAGAAAAAAGTGCTCTCACCTCACAACACCTCCCTCCTCTGACAACATTCTCTGCTGGATGAGCTAGGAAGTGCAGATGTCCACTGACCCATGCTCCAGCCGGAAAGCCAGGGCCAGTTCATGTGGATCAGTGATATCTCACACACACACACACACACACACACACACGTGCATACATGCGCCCACACACATTGAAGCTGGATGTGAATGAAATAATAGCTAGTAGCACAAGACATAAATCTGTAAATACTTAATGGCTAAGTTATGTGGTGCAATCTTTACGTGCCATAAGCACTATAATTTAGAGGTCGCATAAAGTAGAAGCTAAAAGCTCAAAAAATATGGGAGTATTTTTTTCATTTAAAAATCTTTCTTGAGTCCCACTAAGTGCCAGGCATTGTTCTAAGTCCTGGGAAGTCAGCTGTGAACAACACAGAGCTTATACTGCCATGACATAGGCTAGCAGCACAAATAAACAAGCCGTACATGGAAACACCAGAATGACAGGCTTGATGAACATAAAGTAAGAGGCTGTGATCCAGAAAGCTGGGTGCTGTTCCCGGCAGGGCGAGCTGGGTGCTTCTGGGGAGGGGGCATTCAATGAAGAGCAAGAACCAGTTCTGTCCACTTAGAGGTGCTCCAGGCACTGCCGGTGCAGTGGGCACAGGCCTGGCTTCTGTAGTTGTTGTTGTTGCTGTTGTTGAGAAAGGAAAAGAGCCAGTGTGGCTAGACAATAGAGAGTAAGAGGCAAAGTGGGACAAGATATTATACTGGGGGGAAGGCAAGGGGTAGATATCATAGAATCTTGGGAGCTGTGTGATCTTGTGCTGGGGTTCTTGTCCCAGCATTAATTAGGGTTCAACAATCTGGAGAAAGGCTGTGTGTAGATCAAGTAGGAGTCCAGAGATGAAAGATAGTTTTGAATTTTGAAAGGCATTGGGGGTCAGAGGAGCTTCAACTAAAGGAGCTAAAGTTCTCTCTTGACTCAGGACCCTTGCTTTTTATTAACACAATTTGTCCTAAGGCAAAGTGGAGATAATACACTTCAAAGAGTAGGGTGCAGAAGCATTGTCAGATTGGGCAATAGCCTACAGCTGTTCAGGTGTTTGGCCAACAGAAGGCAAAAACATGAGATTGAGATGTCCTGAGCTGTCTGACAACGAGCAATCATCCTATTCAGGTTTGGGGGAAGTGCCCTTTAGCCACTCCAACAGGTGATTACATATGTGATTCAGCCCTTGTTTTATCAACCTTTTGACAAATCTCTTGTAACTATGATGTGCTGGAATTGGCTCTTGGCAATATTGGACCAGTGACTTCACATCTCTGACACTCCGGTTTCCTCATCTGCACAATGAGTGTAATAATAGTGCATGTACCATAGGACTGTGAGGGACATACACCAGGGCACTGGTCTTATGTCATCTGTTGAGTCAGTGGGAATGCGTGGGAGCAGACAGGTGTTCAGAGGAGGCTGGAGGAGACTGGATGGGGTTCTGTGGCTGGACAACAGACATCAGCCCTGGCAGGACAGGTGGACTTCAGAGGGGACAGGAGAGGACAGCCCAGGGCAGAGGCACTCCGTGGACCGTGCTGAACATGGTGCGTTTCCCCGGGGAGAGACAAAGACATGGGGAGCCCGGCGATCATGAGGCAGGTGGTGGGAGAGGGACCCCTCGGCCACGGGAGGGTGTTGAGTAGGGGAGTGATGGGGTCGCACGCTCCCCAGGCTGCACGCCCCGGTGGCCCGAAAAGCGGGCCATGGCCACAAGGGACCTCCTGGGAGAGCTAGGAGCCCAGGAGGGATGAGCAGACAGCTGTAGGTCAAGTGCTCCTTCTGAAAGCAAAGGGAGTGATGGATGGATGGATGGATGGATGGATGGATGGATGGATGGATGGATGGATGGATAACTTCCTCTAGTGGCAGGCCCTGCCGCTCCCTCCCGGGGTTTCTGCCTAACCCTCTGGGGAGAGCAGCCAGGGGTTGGGGAAGTGGCAAGTGCCCCCTCCCAGAGCCTGGCTCCTTGCCTCTGCTTTGAAGGATGGCCATGGGAAGGCGCCGCCTGGCTGTCTATTTTCGGGAGAAGGGCGAGAAGAAGGGTGGGGAGAAGAGTGGCTGTCTGTGCAGGGAGGGCACCGGCCATCTGCCTTTGGGGACGGGTCTGGAGAACTGCTCTGTCTGAGGGGCCTCCCTGGCACGTCTGGGTACAGGCCCAGGCCTTTTTGTCTGGTGGGTATTTTGGGAAAGTGTTTTCCGCCTCCTTCCCGCCCACCTTCGGCCGCAGGGGACCCTCCCAGGCGGGGGCACGGCCTCTGCGGCAGAGGCGGGGCGCAGCGCCCAGGGGGGCGGGCTTCCCGGAGGCCAGCAGAGGGCGCTGGTTAGCAGACCAGCTGGTGCCCAGGCCTCCCCAGGGCGGGAAGACTGGAACTGGCAGCCCCGGGACCACAGCAGTGAGGGGGCATCCATCCCCCTCCCCCTCCCACTTCCGGGTTTGATCCCCCGGGAGGCCAGAGGGCGGCAGGGGCTCCTGAGACCTCGTCCTGCCCAGCGGGGCGTGTGCAGGGCAAACCTGTGGCCGCCGGGGGGCAGCCGCGGCCTTCCTGACCGCTCCCTCGTTCACAGGCTCTGACTTCCTAACCCGATGCAAGGATCTCCCTGTTGGGAAAGGACTTTCGGAATAAGCTTTCCTTATGCAGACATAGCACACGGGGTTACAGCGCAGCTTTGACTTCTGGTCGTCATCCTCCCGGCAGGCCTGTGGCGGTGCAGGTCTGGCCAAAGGGAACGGCTCTGGGGCCTGCGGGTGCCGGGCGTGCAGACCAGATGTCTCTCTGATCAGTGGCCTCACCTGCTGCCTCTGCTATTGGCTGATGGAACTTGAGAAAAGCGGGTTACCAGCTTTGGGGTCTCTTCTTAGCCTCCAAGACTATAAAGTAGCACGTTAGCTTTGCATATCTCAGTGAAAGGGTGATGTGTAAAGTTCACTTTTTAAAATGTATTTATATTGATATCAGAGAGGAAGGGAGAGGGAGATAGAGATGGAAACATCCGTGATGAGAGAATCATCAATAGGCTGCCTCCTGCTAGCCCCCTACTGGGGATCAAGCCTGCAACCCAGGCATGTGCCTTTGACTGGAATCAAACCCAAGACCTTCAGTCGACAGGCCATCGCTCTATCCACTGAGCCAAACCAGCTGGGGCTAAAGTTCACTTCCTATTTTGAGTTTATCCTGCTGGTGAGATTATGGATGGATTTTTAGAACCTAATTTTCAATTTATCCTTCAGAAAATTATCTTATTTTAAATTTACATGAATATCTTCTTGTTAAAACATTTAATATCATAGTTGAAGCCATTCTCTTTTGATTGTAACAATGTGTTTTATATCTTTCCAGAATTATATCCAAGAAGTTTCATCCATATATAATAGTGTTTTGAGTGTGCTTCTGTGGTTAATATAATTGATTTATTCATTCTTGGACATCATTTCATGCGATTTCATATAAATATACATTGTGCTTTTTTTGTTTGTTAATCCTCACTGGAGGATTTTTTTTCATTGATATTTTTAGAGAGAGTAGAAGGAATGGGAGAAAGAAAGAGAGAGAGAGAGAGAGAGAGAGAGAGAGAGAGAGAGAGAGAGAGAGAGAGAGAGATGTGATAGAAACACATCGACTGGCTGCCTCCTGCACATGCCCCGTTGGACCAGGGATCGAAGCTGCATGCTCTTGATTGGGGATCAATCCTGCGACCCTCTGCCATGAGGGCTGATGCTCTAACCATGTAGAAACACCAGCCAGGACTGCATTATGCTTTTTAATGATGCCACATCTTTCCTGTGTAAAAGCAAAAAAGACAATTCAAAAGGAGTCTCCTTTTCACAAGAAAACTTTTGAGATCTGATGCTATACAATGTTTTATTTATTTTACAGCACATTTGAACACCTCTGAAATTGGGATATATATTTAATTTCGTGCCATCCTAAATGTGATAAAATACAGTGTAAGAAACCCTTAACTGCCAGTCCTCTATCTTTGTATCATCTTTACATAAAACACTAGTACTTCTAAAGCCCTTCCCTTGCTCACTCATATCAGTTTATTTATCTTCATAATGTTCCTCCAAGGAAAGCTAGGAACAGTTATCAGAAGCCTTATTTAATAATTATAGAAACAAAAATATTTGCTTCACTGTTAAAACTAGTAAGCGATCAAGCCGAAAGTTATTATAAAGCTGACTCATCTTCCCTGTCCTGGGTTGAAATCCCAGCTCTGCCACTTTCCTTGCCGAGTTGCTGTTAATTAGGACATCTAGTCACACCAAGTTCCTGCCTGGCTGGCACAGAGCAGCTGCCCAATGAAGAGGAACTATTTTTATTAATAGTAATATTATTTATGTCCAATTTTCCTCTCTATTTATAATAAATATAGCTTAGCATTTCTGATTTTTTTTTAATTGTTTACTCTATACTGGAATAGGTTGGGCAATGTCTTCTGGCCCTTCATAGATTTGATTGTGTTATCATTTGACACCTATCACTATCAGCACACTCTTTTTTTTTATTTCTTTATTGATTATGGTATCACATAATTGTCCGCATCCCACCCCAAACCCTTCCTCACATATGCCCCCACCCCCTGTTGTCCATGGCCACTGGCTAGGCTCATACGCGTGCACACAAGTCCTTTGGTTGATCTCTTCCCCTTATCCCCACCCTCCCCTACCTTCCCTCTGAGATCTGACAGTCTGATCGATGCTTCTCTGTCTCTGGGTCTATTTTTGTTCATCAGTTTATATTGCTCATTATTTTTCCTAGATGAGTGAGCTCATGTGATACAAGAAATACACTTATAAGAACCAAAGATGAGACAAACAATAATGGTTATGCTGAGAGGCAAATGAATCAGTCTATAGTGAGTTTCTCTCTGGGCCAACAGTTCTTTTGAGTCCCAATTTTTATGTCAAACAGTTCCTTATGTGTACATGTCAGCCATGATATTTCAGTTCTGGATGGTGGACAAATGGTGGTGATGCAGGTCCAACCCTCTCTGGTTTGGTCCTGGGCAACCTTCTGCGACACACAGCCTTAAATTTGGTGTCACCAAGCAACACGGAGTCTGTGCCCTCTTGGGATTCACAGCCCAAAGCGGAGCGTCGGGTCAGACAGCTGGAGAAAGCCGCAGAGGCGGTCCTGAGCCAGGGTGGCAGGCCTTGCCCGATTGAGGATCAAAAACTGCTGGCATGGGGGGAGGGGCCAACCACCACCATGGCGGGCAGGTGGCAGGCTGAATGGGGCCTGTTGGCCAGGGGGAAGAATAGGAAGAGGTACCCAGGAAGTTGGCTGCTGGCCCTAAGGAGGGAGCCTGCCCTTGGCACCACCTGGGAAAGGGCTGAATCTGCCACCATCCATCCCCAGTTCCCTGTCCCAGCCTGGGGGTCTGGCCCTGATTAGGCGATTGAGGCCTGCTGGCTGGAGGACTGGCGAGGAGGAGCAGGGAGTGGGCTGGAAGGTTGTTTGGCAGGCCACATTGGCGATCAGGGCCTGCAGGCTGGAGGCAGTTCCTGCATCGAGTGTCTGCCCCCTGGTGGTTAGTGCGTGTCAAAGCAACCAGTTGTTCTAGTTCCGTTGTAACTCTCTTAGGCTTTTATTACTATATAGACTAGAGGCCTGGTGCATGAAATTCATGCATGGGGGAGGGGGTGTCCCTCAGCCCAGACTACACCCTCTCCAATCTGGGTCCCTTCAAGGGATGTCTGACTGCCCTCTCACAATCCAGGACTGCTGGCTCCCAACCGCCTGACTACCTGCCTGCCTTGTTGCCCCTAACTGCTTCTGCCTGCCAACCTGATCACCACATAACTGACTCCCCTGCAGACCTGGTCACCCCTAACTGCCCTCCCCTGAAGGACTGGTCACCCCTAACTGCCCTCCCCTGCAAGGCTGGTCCCCCCCCAACTGCTCTCCTCTGCTGGCCTTGTCTCCTCCAACTGCTCTTCCCTGCAGGCCTGGTCACACCCAACTTCCCTCCTCTGCCAGCCTGGTCACACCTAATTGCCCTCCCCTATGGGCTTGATCGCCCCCAACTGCCTTCCCTTGCAGGCCTGGTCCCTCCCAACTGCCCTCCTTTGCTGGCCATCTTGTGGTGGCTATCTTGTGTCCACATGAGGGCAGCCATCTTGTGTGTTGGAGTGATGGTCAATTTGCATATTACTCTTTTATTAGATAGAATTTCCATGTGAACACTATAAACATTCTGTCCACCCTACATCTGCTTAAATATTAGAAGGCTCAATTTAGACTTTCATATAGAAGCAGCACCCAGAGGAGAGTCACCCTGTAGATGTAAAAAGCGACAGTAGCCCCGGCTGGTGTGGCTCAGTGGGTAAGGTGCCATCTCCATGCACCAAAAGGTGGTGTTTTAGTTCCCCATCTGGGCACATGCCCAGGTTGTAGGCTCAATCCCTGGTTGGGGCACATGCAGGAGGCAGCCAATCGATGTTCACTCTCACACCCATGTTTCCTCTCTCCCGCTCTTCTCCTCTCTAAAAATAAATTTTTTAAAAAATTTTAAAGAAAAGGCAGTTTAGTTGTCTGCCTGATTTCATTAAATGATCAAGTTTTCCCCTTGATCATTTATATAAAAAATATTTCAGATTTTATATGTATTAAGAATTTAAAGATTACTATACTTAATGTCACCTTGTGCTATTTCTTGCTTACCTTCTCAGAGGATATACACATGCACACCTATATGGATATCTGGGTTTTAATTTAAAAATGGTGATTTACTGTGCTCACTGTATGCACCGCCTTTCCATTTAAAACCATATCTTGGATATTGTTCAAAATGAGTTTGTAAAGATGGTATCAATCTTTTCTATGGCTGCATTGTATTTTATCACTCAGGTTAAGTTTATTTGTGAACAATATCCTGATAGGCATTCCGGTTGTTTCAAGTTTTGTCACGGTTACACACAATGCTCAGGGAGTGAGTGTATGTGCAGACCATGTTCCACTTGTCACCGTTACAAACAACGCTCAGGGAAGGACTGTTATGTGCAGACTGTGATCCACTTGTCACCATTACAAACAGCGCTCAGGGAGTGACCACACGTGCATGCTCACCTGCCGAGCCCCCGGGATGGAGATGCTGCCGCGGGCAGGGCCTCTCTCCCGGGGGAAATCGCTGAAAGCCCTCGTTGCCGGTGCACCAGGGAGATCCCTGCTGCCGGTGTCTGGGAGCGGTGGCTTCTCACGGCGTTGCCGGCAGTGGGTTCTGAGCCTTGCTCTGGCTTCCGGTCTAACCCTCTGCTTTGCCTTCCCTCACAGCGGTCAGCAGAACTGGCTGCAGTTAGATCACCGGGTCCTGGACCATGACTTGCCCAAGAAACCAGGCCCAGCCATTTTGCACTTTGCCGTGAGGTACGTATCCGCAGACACACCCCGCACCCCCCTCCCTTCAAAACCAAACAAATGCTGGTGAGCAGAGGCCGAGGGTTAAAAAGAAGCCACCTACGGAAACAGGACGGAGTGGAACATTACTCGTCTGGGCCGTTCCCTCAGTCGTGGGTGGGACGGTTTTCTTTGAAAAGGAAGGACAGAATCACCTCCCTTTCCTGCTCCAAGCCCTTGGACCAATTTAAAGCGAGAAAAACATAGGTGGTGCGTTTTAATCCCTAAACCTGTTTCTGATTTAACGTACTTTAGGACTTCTTATATTTGAAATATGACAGGCATTTATTATTACATTTTCTGTGTGAGTGTTTCCTAGAGACCGTGGAAATAATTGAATGTATATAATGTCACGCCTTTAATTTGACCAGAAGACAAAATACAAGCCAGTGCTCACTGAGAGAATGGGCTGAACGTGGGGAAGCCTGAACTCAGCCTGCAGGCCGGGGACTGCGGAGAGCGGTGCGCCCTGGCCTGTCCACTCGGCGTGGGCCGTCGCAGTCACGGGTGGGGCTCCGCTACTTCCTCCTGAATCACTACGTCAGTGATTTCCTAAAACCAGCCCAGGAGGCGGTATTTTTCCCCATTAGTTATTCACATCACCCAGGCCGGGTAGCTCAGTTGGTTAGAGTGTCATCCCAATACACAAGGATTTTGGTTTGATCCCCGGTCAGGACATACACAAGAATCAACCAAAGAAGGCATAAATAGATGGAACAAGTCGATGTCCCTTGCTCTCTCTCCCTCCTTACCTCTCTCTCCCCCCCACCTCCACTCTCTATAAAATATATATATATATATATATATTTAAATTTACACTCTAAAATAAATCAAGTGCTATGAACAGTCGCACCCATGCTCTGCTCCTAGCTTAAGAAATAAAACTTTATTAGTTTTTCTGAAAGCCCCTCTTCCCACTCTCCTGAATTTGATGATAAATTTTATTTTTCTGGACTGAAACCAAACATGATAAAACAAGCTAAGACAGTAGATTTACCATAAATCTAAATATGCTTTCATAAATCTATACCAACCTGAAAGATGTTCTTTTAGTCTGAGCTTATGTTTTTTTTGGGATATTGAAATATGCTTTGTTTTATGATGTGATAGTGGAAGCTCCTTACTCTTCCTGAGGGGGTTTATACTATGACTAGAGGCCCAGTGCACAGGAATCATGCATTCGGGGAGGAGTCCCTCAGCCCGGCCTGCACCCTCTCACAGTTCGGAGATGTCCTACTGCTGGCTTATTGCACTCGCCAGCAGTGAGCCTGGCTCAGGGCTTCTGGCTGAGTGGTGCTCCCCCTGTGGGAGTGCACTGACCATCAGGGGGCAGCTTCTGCCGTGAGCGTCTGCCCCCTGGTGGCCAGTGTGCGCCATAGCAACTGATCGTTCTGCCAGTAAGTCTATTTGCATATTAGCCATTTATTATATAGGATTCCCTGGCAAAATTACGTTGATTTCCAAACTTTTTTCTCCAACTTCAATGTATTCCATGAAATCCAAAAGTGTGGTAATAATATGTCCTCCCTTTTTTTTAATGGATCTTTTCATATATGAATTGATGGTTGTAGATGGTATCTACTCTTTAGTCAGTAACAAAGTGTTGACAATTCCCAATCTGTTTCTTGCTTTCCACTCTGAAGTCTGTTTTAGAATTTCTTCCTTTTTAACCCTGTGAGGGGCAGCACGCTGGAGGGGCGGCAGGAGGGTCGCTGGCATGGAGCCGTGCACAGGAATTCTAAAGAAAACATGGGGCTTTTGTGGGAGGAGAGTGACATGAGTGCTTGTGTCCATCGCAATGGAGAAAAGGACAAACAAGCCAGCAAGCAACAGGGGGTGCAGATTAGCATTAAGCAGGGGCCAGAGGATACAGACATTTTAATCTGCATCATGTAGGGAAATGGCTTAATGTATACCAGGTTTTTTGCAAAGAACTAAATCATCCCAGTAAACATTTCACACTACATGAAAGCACCAAGGGAAAAGGAAAAATTACACACACACACACACACACACACACACACACACTCCAGGCTTCTTCCTTTACCCCGACCCCAGTTCTCTCCCTTCTTAGAGAAAAGTGAGGGTGGCAGCTGTCGGGTGACTTCATTTTTACTTGGGATCTGTCATTGGGTATAAACCTGTGAGCTTCCATAACTGAGCTCCCAGCCTGTGAGCACTGCAGCTGCAGGCCCCCCGGCTCAGCTGCAGGGCTGCCCCCCCCGATCCCACTCCCAGCTCCAGCTCAGCTGCAGGCCCCCTGGCTCAGCTGCAGGGCTGCCCCCCAACCCCACTCCCGGCTCCAACTCAGCTGCAGCCCCCGCCACTAGCTCAGCTGCAGGCCCTGACTCCCCTCACGGAGGTGCTCTGCCTTCGTGTTCAGAGAACACAGCAGTGCCACGCCTCTGGCACAGGGCTGGAGTTTTAGCTCTTGGACAGCTAATACGTGATCTGCTTTCGGTCTCACAGTACCAGGGGAGGAACCGTCTTCCCGTCGTGCCGCATTCGTACAGCCCCTATCTTCTGGCGCAGGTTCCTGAGCTGCCGGACTCAGCACTTCCTTCCCTTCGTGTTATCTTCAGGCGCCCAGGCGCTGGGCAAGACTCTCCCCGACAGCTCCAGCTTCCATCCTTATCGGGTCTTTAATGACTCACCCCATGCTCCCTCCGACAGTACAGTGAGGTCATAATAGTCGTAGTTATTATTCCAATTAAGTACTTATTGCTACTCCGATTTAATTAAAGAAATGATCAAGCAAAACACACGCCAAACAGTTAACAGAGCTGACCCGGGTCAAGGGGCACCAAGTTCTTTCTCGGCGGCCTTACCGACTCGGTGGCCCTCACCCCGTGAAGTCGCTGCCTTCGGGGCCTCGCCTCCTCTTCGGGGAATGACTGCTGGGGACACGTACACCCCTGGGCACAGCACCGCCCCTCTTGGCCTGTGTTCACCAAACATTCGCCGGAGGACGGACCCACAGCAGGGTTTGGCTCCGATGGAGCCTCTGGAAACGGGGGCCCTGGTGAAAGCAAGGTCATGGTCTCTCCCATCAGCAAGCCCCGTGCGCGCACTGGCCTGGCTGCTGAGGGGCTGATGGGCAAGGAGACTGGGCACATCCAATGCCAGCAGGGAGCCGGGATTCAGCAAGCGCTGGCATTTCAACGAGAACCATTGCTCACGTCAGTAAGAGATTAGATGAAAGTGCCTCGCATTCCAGGGCTCCTGCAAGGGTGAGGCTCACCGAAACCCTCCTGAAGCCTTTCCAAGACTCAGTCACACCCTCCACCCCAAGGCCCAGACCCACCATGTGGCCCCGATTCCGGGGCGGTGCCTGCAGGTGGGGAACGTGGCGTGGGGCAGGTCGGGTGTGAGAGGTAAAGAGAGATCAGGAGATACAAAACGCTTTCGCTAAGTATTGTGTAAACATGATAAATAGCACTTTCTTTCATTGTAGCATCTGTGAAAAGGGAAACTACCTACAGACTTGCTTTCCAGAACTTTCCTCTCTACTGAAACCAGGGACCAGGCCCTGAGCTAACTGCTGTCTCAGGGCTCCTGAGCTCAGCATGGGGTCCCATAGACATGGGGGGTCTGGCCTGGCTGCCGGCCCAGGGTGCAGGGAGTGGCTCAAACACTCCTGCTGCTTCTGTGCGGGCGGGGAGGGGGAGGAACAGTTAGGATGGGGCACTCGGTTCCCCTTCCCTAAACCACGGTCTCCTCTTCGGTTGCACTGTCCCAGCGCGTGTGCTGCAAACCCGCAGGAGACAGTGCCATAGTGCCCCCCGCTCATGTGGCCAAGCCTCTGTGGCCTGAGTCCGCACCCCCGGCGCGGGGACGGGGACTTCTCCAGGGGCCTGCTATCTGCTGCTGTGAATCAGCTCCCAGCACAGGCCGTGCTGGCGATGCAGCCCAGCTGTGAGCTTTGGAAAGCTTGGCACTGAGTGAGCAAGCATTTAAGCAGGAGATCAGGAACTGCTCCCCACCCCCCGGCCCTCGCTGCCCCCCCCCGCCCCCGGCCCCCGGCCCCCACCCTGCGAGGGCACGCGGAGGTAGCTTGGGCTGGTCCCACCCAGCCACACACAAAGCCAGAAGCTGGGCATCCTCCACCCCATTCTTCTGAGTAGTCCTGCTGTTTGTTCCTCTTCCTGGTCTTTCCTCTCCACCCTCTTCCCTTCTCTTCCCAAGTCACCTTTCCCACCCGCCCTGGGGCCATGGAGGTGCCCTAAACAGCGACAACTGTGCCCGAGGTGTCCCAGTCAGGGGAGTTCTGGAGGGGGGGGACTACCTTTCTGTCCAAGGAGCTGCACACAGCGTCTTTGGAAGATGGTGGGGAGCCTTTTCAGACCCCCCTCCTGGTTCTGGAACATGGGGCCTTCTAGAAAGAGTGTGACCCAAGGAGGCATCATGACCAAGCCTGTGAGTCCCCATCATCTGGCCTAATGTTCCTTTTGTCAACCTCACCCAAGGGTATTTTATTTTCCCATTGGTTTTTAGAGAATGGAAAGGGGGGGGGGGTTGCGGGGGGAAAACACACGTAGAGAGAGACAGAGAAGAGACACCTATGTGAGAGACACACTGATTGGTTGCCTCCTGCACATGCCCCGATCAGGGCTCTTGACTGGAATGGAACCCAGGACCCTTCAGCCTGTGGACAAGGAGGCCCCCGGCAGCCTGCACCAGCCAGGCCGCGGCCTCCCTGTGCAGCGTGGACCAGGGTCTCACCGAAACCCATCTATGTGGGCAACCACGGGGGCTGCACTGTCCGCAGGGACTGAGCGACCCCGGAATGAGGCATTCCATTCCGCCCTCACTGGATGCTGGTCGCCAGCTCAGCGTGGCTCAGAGGGCCAGCTTACCCCGTCTGAGGTACCACGCAGACATGGCGAAGCCGGGCACACCAAGAGAAGACGCTCCGTGGGGAAGGAGCCGCAGAACTCATCAGAAAAGCTGTTTCACACTTCTTTCCTGGTCTGTGCGAAATGGCTACTTCCGTAGCATGTCGCTTCCTTGAAAGAAAGAGCTTAGGAAAGGTACCTGGACTTCCCATTCTTGTTTTTATAACATTTTAAAGAGATTCCCAGCGAAGCCCGCCCCTCTGTTCCAGCCTCCGGAGAGGGAAGGCAGCAGGCTCATCTCCAGCTCTCTCCGGGCCGCACGGGGCAGCGCTGCGGACACAGGGCGCTCTCCCCTGCAGGAGCCGAGGAAGGTGAGGCCCTGCGAGGCCAAGCCACGCCCAGCCCCGGGGCCATCATCAGTATCTCCTCGAGTCCACAGTGCTGACGTGGACCATGATGGAAGTATCGGCGCCCACGTGTCAGGCTGCTGTGGGCAGCCGTGCCAAATGACCGTGTGGGCCTGTGGCTGAGGTGGTGTCCTCTGGCCAGCAGGTCTGCCAGCTGCACGCCCTCTCTGCCTGGCACAGAGGCGGTGCTCCATTATGGCTGTGAGTGGTTAGTGAGCGCCTGTCCCATCAGGAAGGGGACCGTGCTGATGGGAGGAGCGGACACAGAACCACCCCAAGCAAAGGCTCTTCTCAAGAAATGGCCCTTGTTCCGCTGCAGGAGGCTTGTCTCCAAACCACACCCCCAGCACGGCCAGAAGCCTGGGTGCTGAGACCGAAATTTCACCCCGGGCTTCGCTGGCACAGAACCCAGGGGAGCCCATGGCCCGCAGGGGGGACACGGAACCCTCTGCCTCACGGCCGGACAGAGGCTGCACTCTGCGTGTGGGCAGTCCGTTCCCTCGGCGAAGAGGCCCGGAGCCCGTCCCCAGCTCCTGTGGGTGTGGACGGGTGCTCCGGGGAGCCGTCCTCCCAGACGACCGGCCAGAGATACGCGGTCATGGCCATGGGCCCTGAGGGAGAGAGGGGCTGAGCATTCAGGGAGCAGGTAACCGGATGCCGGCAGAGAGGAGAGAGCGGCAGGCGCAGCGCCAGGAAGCATGGGAACCGGGGCAGGGCCTGTCCACCAGAGCCGGGCCTGGCCTCAGGGGCAGGGAGCCCAGGTTCCAGCACAAAGATGTCCGTTCAGCACGGATAAGCCACGTGGATTTGGGTGGTTTTGGGTTCGGCTGCCCAGCTCCCTGCTACGGTTTCTTAAATTCTCACAGACGTGCAAGACGGTCTGGCTAGTGTGCCCTCCCCTGGGGCCTTCCTCCCAGTTACCTGGGAAGTTCATGCATTCTTTAACACTCGGCTCAGCTGGCCTGCAGCGTGCACTCCTCTGCATTTCAGTTTGGCAGCCTCTCCCTCTCCAGCCAGAAGCTGAGCTCGTGGCAGCCCTCCCTGGGCCCCGTCACGGTGTCTGTGTTCGTCATTGCACTGCTGTGGGGAAGCGTGTGCCATGCTTGTTGGGAATATGGGCTTGGGAGTCTGCCAGGCCTTGGCTGGAATCGTGGCTCCACCTACATGGCTTGGAGAAGATGCTCAACATGACAGTTTTCTCACCTGTGACATGGGTTTGCAATGTGCCACCTGCAGCCTCTGGTCGTCCTGGACATTGGAGGAAATGATGCATGCAGAGTCCTGTACAGGCGCTGACCCTGCACGCAGGAATGCCGCTGTGAGTCTGGAGTCTGGTTGCCAGGAACAGAAACCCGCTGGGCTAAGAGAACTGAAGGAAAACTGAGCCAGTGAGGCCGCGAGAAGATAGAAATCCGGCAGGAGCTAGCCTTGTGCACGTGACTCTTGCTGTAACCGGCTTTATTTATCTAAAACATAAATTGCAAATTTACCAAAAAAGTTTTGGAAATAAGGAAAAAATGTGAATGACTGGGTTTTAAATATTAAGAACGTATTATGAACTTTGTTAGTATGAAAATTCATTGAGGTTATGCTCGTAATACCAGCCTTCTTTGCTAGAGCTACACAGTGAAGTGATCAAAAGGGAAAGGCAAAGAGAATTTCCCCGCTTTCCGCAGAGAGGGAGGAGCCGAGCTCTCCTCTGACTGACGGGCAGGGCGGGCTGGGTCTGGGTGCCTCCCGCCTGAGACTCTGGGCTGCCAGCCGTTCATGGGCCACCTCCAGGTCTCTCCCCTGATGTCCCGGTTCTGGGTCCGCTCTGCGCAGTGAGAGGCACTGTCGGGGGAGGGCGCTGGGGCTGCTGGCCTCTCTCTAAGGGGAAGCCCGCTGCTGGGGGCTGGCCGAGGGCACCAGGAGGAGAGTCTATGGAGTCCCAGGCCCCAAAGCCAGACCTCTCCTTGCCAGTAGGCGCAGCTCCAGAACTCAGATTCTGTGCCTGTGAAGTGGGGGTACCTACCGGCACCTGCCCCCAGTGGGCGGCTGCGGGCAGGTGGCCGCCGCTGCGGTGCGGTCTGTCAGCGGAGGGATGGCAGAGGCTGAGGAGGCAGGAAGCCTCCCGCACCCTCGCCCCCTGGACCGCCCCTGGGCTGCTGAGAGGCAGGCATCGGCCTCCTGCTGGGTCCCCACTGTGACTCCTGCTCTGACCCACCTCTGGCTGCAGCTGGGAGCCTCGGCTCCCCTTGCCCTCTGACCCTCTGCCCTCTGACCCCCTGAGAGGCGGTTGGTAGGTCAGTAGGTCGGTGTGCCCGGCCTCTCACCAGGGCCTCCACCAGGGCCTCCACTGGGAGCAGGCTTTCTGGAACTTGGTGATTCAACATTAGCGACGGAAATTTTCAAATGATTTACCATCTCCCTGATAGTCTCCCAAGGCCTTCTTATTTCTTTATGTGTTTTGCATGTTGAAGGGTTGGGAAGGGGAGTGCCCAAGGCCAGGCATGATCCTGCAGCGACTTTATCGTGACCCTCCCTCCAGGAGAGCAAGTTCTCTCTGGGGGTGGCTGGCTGGGAGGGGCAAGGCGGGGCGGGGCAGGTCCCTGAGTGGCTCAGCGGGGCCAACACTGGGCCTCGGGCCCCTCCCGCCCCAGGCCCGCCCGCCCACCCGCTGTTTACATGCCGGAAACAGAAATTGTGGAGGAGCCCCCCTCCCCAGGGCCTCTCAGCCCGCCTACTGGGACCTGCAGCTGACCCAGCAAAGGCCAGGCAGGGGGCCCAGTGCTGCCATTTGCCGGAGAAAAGACCAAGGTTAAGGTCTGCTGAGTTTGGCTTCCAGCCAAGGGAAAGGCCTGCCTGGTAGGGGGAGGGGAGAAGGGGGAGGAGGCTATTGCTGAGACTCCTGCTGCCCTGGGGTCTGAAAGCCACAGGCCTCAAGGTTCAGCTACTGGCTCCTGGGCCCGCTCTGCCTTCAGCCCTCACCCTCAAGGGCCGATTTGAAGCTGCCCCAGGGATTCCAGCCAAAGGAGAGGCCAAGTGAGTCCCTGTAGCTCCTCTCCCGACAGCAAACACCTGAGCGAGGGACCTGCCTGTGTGCACACTCACCCACACACACCTGAGCGAGGGGACCTGCCCGTGTGCACACTCACCCACACGCACCTGAGAGAGGGGACCTGCCCGTGTGCACACTCACCCACACGCACCTGAGAGAGGGGACCTGCCCGTGTGCACACTCACCCACACACACCTAAGAGAGGAGACTTGCCCGTGTGCACACTCACCCACACGCACCTGAGAGAGGGGACCTGCCCGTGTGCACACTCACCCACATGCACGCTGACTGCAGGCTCCTTTGAAAGGCAGGCCCAGCACGAGCGTCCCTTGGTTTCTCAGAATCTCTCTGACTGGGGGAATGGAATGAGGGGATGATGCTGGGAGAAGGGGGAATGGAATGAGGGATGAAACGATGCCGGGAGGAGGGAGAGATCTGAAGAACAAACCTGCTGCTGTTTTCCAGGTTTTACATCGAGAGCATCTCGTTCCTGAAGGACAGGACCACCGTGGAGCTGTTCTTCCTGAACGCCAAGGCCTGTGTGCACCAGGTAAGGCGCTGTGCCCCGCGCTCCAGGAGGCCTCTGCTCTCCCTCCCGCTCCACGAAAACAGGCCACAATCTCTCGGGGGTCTTCCTTCCTCACCCACCCCAGAATGGCAGCTCTTCTGAGGGCGGGAAGCCAGCTGCCGCTGAGGACGGTTTTTGCCTCGGTGCATCTGCTGTCCCCGCCTTTAGCCTCACTCCAGGCCCGGCAATGCGGCCTCCGCTCAGAGCCAGGCTCTGTAGAGAGCGGCTCGGTCTGGGGAAAACCACTCGGCCACAAAGAGGAAGAAATGTCCCTGGGGCAGCAGGGAGGGACCTGGAGCGCATTGTGCTAAGGGCCATGAGCCGGTCGGAGAAACACAGGTGCCATGTGACTTCACTCGTGTGTGGACTCTAATCAACAAACTGAACTAGCGAGCCCATTAGAGAGACTCACAGAGACATCCGGGGAGGGGGCTGGGAGTGCGGGGTGAGTAAAAAGAAAACAGAGAAAGAGCTCATGTGGTGATTTCGGGGATGGGTGGAGACGGGTAGAATTGGAAGGCGGCGTAAAGGGGATAAATGGTGATGGGGAAAATTAAATAAATTTCTGGTAAATAAACCAGCGCACACACAAACAACAGTGTCTCAGTTACTGCAGGGAAGCAGCTTTTTCCTCTCTCTCTGGGCACCGGGCTGTTCCCACAACGTGGCTACTGTAAATACTGCCGCAGTGATCACAGAGCTGCATATATTCCTTCAAATTAGTGTTTCCGTTGGATATATGCCCAAAGGTGGAATTGCTGAGTCAGAAGGCTGCTCCGTTCTGAATTTTCTGAGGAAACCCATACTGCTTCCACAGTGGCTGCACCAGTCTGCGTGCACAGGGGTCCCCTCTCCCCACATCCTCACCAGCACTGTTTGCTGGTTTACTGGTTGGTGATGGCCCTTGTGACAGGTGTGAGGCGGTGCCTCATTGTGGTTGTAATGCGCATCTCTCTGATGACAGTGATGCTGAGCATCTTTTCATGTGTCCACTGGCCATCTGTATGTCTTCTTTGGAGACAGTTAGGTCTTTGCCTATTTTTTAATTGGGTTGTTTGGGGGTTTTGGTGTTGAGTTTTGTAAGTACTTTATAAACTTTGGATATTAACCCTTTATCATATGTATCATTGGCAAGTACATTCTCCCATTCAGCAGGTCATCTTTCCATTTTGTTGATGGTTTGCTTTACTGTGCAAAAACTTTACAGTTTAACTAGAGGCCCGGCACATGAAATACGTACACAGTACGGTCCCTAGGCCTGGCCTGCAATCAGGGCCATCTTCTCCACCTGCCCACAGCCAGCCCTGCCCCCTGCCGCCACCCACCCTTGGTTCCCAGTTCGCCATTGGATGATCCGTGCCTGACAGCGGAGGGGGGGGGGGGAGGAACAGAGAGGTTGGCTGTTCCCCCCTGCTTGCTGGCCCTGCCCCCCGCCAAGAGTGGCCATCAGACTATGGGAGACTGCTGGCTGGGGAAAGGGACCAAGACGTGGTCAGTTCACCTCATAGTGACTGGTCCAGTGGTCGTTCTGATCATTCCACCTTTAGGTTCAATCACCCTTTTATTATATAGTGCACAGGTGGGGGCCAGCTAGCCTTCCCTGAAGGGGGCTCTGGATCAGGGTGGGGGTCCCTGCTTGGGGTGGGGCCAGCCTGGGCAAGGGGCCATGGGCAGTTTGCAGGCCGGCCATGCCCCCAGCTTTGTCAGTAAGGAATCCGAAATGACATCCGGAAGAAGTCTGGTCTATCAGTCTAATTAGCACATTACCCTTTTATTAGTATAAACTAGAGGCCTGTGCGTGAAATTCGTGCATGAGGGGTGTCCCTCAGCCCAGCCTGTACCCTCTCCAATCCAGGACCCCTCAGGGGATGTCTGACTGCCGGTTTAGACCCGATCCCATAGGAATCAAACCTAAACCGGCAGTCAGGCATCCCTCTCAAAATCCGGGACCACTGGCTCCTAACTGCTCGCCTGCTTGATCACCCCTAACCACCTCTGCCTGCCAGCCTGATCGCTGCCTAACTGCTCCCTCCTGCTGCCTGATTACCCCTAACTGCCTTTGCTTCGACCCCTGCTACCATGGCTTGTCTGGAAGATGTCCGTTCTAATTAGCATATTACCCTTTTATTAGTATAGATTAGTCCCATTAGATTATTTTTAATTTTGCTTCCCTTGTTGAGGAGATATATCAGAAAAGAATATTGGTATGAGAGATGCTCAAGGTTTTACTGCCTATGTTTTCTTCCAGAATTTTTATGGTTTCAAGTCTAACATTTAAGTCTTCAATCCATTTTGAGTGTATTCTTGTGTGTGGTGTAAGAAGGTAGTCTAGTTTCATTGTTTTTGCACATATTTGTCCAATTTTCCCAACACTATTAATATCTTTTAGCCCATTGTGTGATTTACTTCCTTTATCAAATATTAATTGACCACAATGGTGTGGATTTATTTCTGGGTTCTCTATTCTTTTCCATCGATCTTTATGTCAGTTTTATGCCAGTACCAAGCTGTTTTGATTACTGTGGTCTTATAGTACAGTTTGATATTAGTATTAATAGCATGATTCCTCCAACTTTGTTCTTCTTTCTCAAGATCATTGTTGCTATTCAGGGTCTTCTTTAGTTCCATATAAATTTTTGGAACACCATTGGTATATTGGTAGGACTGGTGTTAAATCTGTAGATTACTTTGGATAGTATGGGCATTTTCATTATTAACATAAGAAACATTCAAACCTCTGAAGAACTTTTGGGAGTTTATTTGAGACAAACTGTTGACAATCCCAGGAAGCAGAATCTCACCAGATTGAGATAATGCTCTAGAGAATGGTGGTTTTTCACCTTCTTTTATACATTACAATAAAAAGAGGAGACTTAAGTGGGTTAATGAAATCCATTGATGATAGATTAGGGAGGTGGGAAAAAGCAAGGAGGGGAAACCTCTGGGACTGTATAAAAAGTAAAATGATGGACACATACTTCTTTAAGTGGGTGCAGGACAGTTAACAGTCGGCTATTAACTCAGTAACTATGAGGGGATTTGTGGTCTCCACAGAGTGGTGCTATGCTTTCAGGGGCCCAGAAAAAAAATAGCTTTGACACTCCAATGACAACATGGATGGACCTGGAGAACATTTTGCTAAAAGAGAAAGACACTCTTAGTTAAAGTTTGACCTTCGTCAGGGAAAAGACCAGCCTAGGACCTGACTACCCACCACAAACTGCTTTTTAGTTAAAACAAAACAAAACAAAAAAACAAATAAATAAATTAAAAAACGTTTTAGAGCCCTGCTGGCTTGGCTCAGTAGTTGAGTGTGGACTTATGAACCAGGAGGTCATGGTTCAATTGATTCCCCGGTTGTGGGCTCAATCCCCAGTAGGGGGTGTGCTAATCAATTGATTCTCTATCATCATTGATGTTTCTATCTCTCTCTCTCTCTCTCTCTCCCTCTTCCTTCCTCTCTCAAATCAATAAAAATATATATTTTTAAAATACAACTGATTTCTGGATATTTATTTTGTACCTTGTTACTTTACTGAATACATTTATCAGTTCTAATAGTTTTATGGTGGAATCTTTAGGGTTCTCTCTTGTCATCTGCAAATAATGACATTTTTACTTTTTCTTTTCAAAGTTGGATAGCTTTGCTTTCTATTTCTATTTTCCTTCCAGTGGCTAAGAATTCCAGTGTTATGTTGAATAAGAGTGGTGGAAGTGGACATCCCTGTCTTGTTCCCAGTCTTAATGGAAATACTTTTAGTTTTGCCCATTGTGTATGATATTGACATGGGTTTGTTATATATAGCCTTTGTTATATTGAGGTATATTCCTCAACTTGGCTGAGAGTTTTTATCATAAATAGATGCTGTATTTTATCAAATGCTTTTTCTGCATCTATTGATAGCACCATGTGGTATTTATATTTCATTTTGTTGATGTGATGTATCATGTTTATTGATTTAGGGTTATTATACCAACCTTGCACCCCAGAAGAAATACCACTCAATCATGATGTATGATCTTTTTAATTATTGCTGGATCAATGGCTAATGTTTTGTTGAGGGTTTTAGCATCTGTGTTCATCAGAGATAGTGGTCTATAATTTTCTTTCTTTGTAGTGTCTTTATCTGGTTTTGGAATTAGGATAATCCAGCCTCATAAAATGATCTTGAGGAGTCTTCCCTCATCTTGAATTTTTAGAAGAGTTTGAAAAGGATAGATGTTAATTCTTCTCTAAATGTTTGGCAAAAATCACCTCTGAAGCCATGTAGTCCAGGGCTTTTGTTTTGGGGAGTTCTATGATTACTGTTTCAATTTCACTAGTTGTGATCTGTCTATTCAGATTCTCTGATTCTTCCTAATTCAGTTTTGGAAGATTGTATATTTCTAGGAATTTACCCATTTCATCCAGATTGTCTGATTTGTTGGAATGTAGTTGTTTATAATAATTTATTATAACCCGCTGTGTTTCTTTGGTGTCAGGTTGTTACTTCTTTTATTTCTCATTTTGTTTATTTAGAGCCTCTGGCTTTTTCTGTTCATGAGTTTGGTAAAAGGTTTGTCAATCTTGTTTATCTTTTCAAAAAACCAGCTCATGGTTTCATTGATCATTGCATTATTTTTTTTAAACACTAGTTAATTTCTGTGCTGATCTTAATTACTTCCTTCTACTCACTTTGGGCTTTGTTTGCTGTTCTTTTTCAAGTTCCTTAAATGTGAAGTTTGATTGGTTATTTGAGCCTTTTCTTGTTCCTTGAGAGAGGCCTGTAATGCCATGAATTTCCTTCTTAGGTCTGCTTTCCTTTTGTCCCACAGAGGCTGGACTGTTATGTTCTAATTTTAAGTTATTTCAAGGTATCGTTTGATTTTTTTTTCCTTGATCTCATTGTTAATCCATTCATTGTTTAGTAACATATGATTTACCCTCCAAGTCTGTGTGTTTTTCAGTTTTGTTTTTTGTGATTGATTTCTAGTTTTATAGC